CCCATTCCTCCATTGTTTGGTTTATATCCACATTTTTATGGTGATTGTGATTGCCAAAACGAGTTTATTTGCAGAAATAGAGAAAAAAAAAAAAGAAAAAAGAAAAGAAACACTAGACAAACAGATGCAAGAGGGAGAAAAAGAAAAATTTTAGTTGCAGTGTTGATGGATTCGTCAATGACTTTACAGAAAACACGTTACTTTTGTGAGCGTACGCGTTTTGAAATTACGTAAAAATCCATTCCGAGTGTAAGGGTATAACTGTAATAAAAAATATTTTTTTAGCAAAGGGGGTGCCTTAATAAAAGAATTGGGTGTAAATATAGGATTTGTTAGTTTAGTTTGAACATAAATTAAAAAAAAAAAATTTAAACTCAAGTTATAATTTTATTTAAGTTTATGTTATTTTATAAAATTTGAATTTGAATTTGAGTTTAAAGTTAAAATCTTTAAATCAAGTTAATGAACAATATTTTTCTATTTTTAAAAACGTTATCTTTTTCATTTTAATTCCGATTGAGATGAAATTTGTTTATGCATTCATAATGAAGAGACGAATATACGTTTGGTTGGAGGATTCAAACCATGTAATTCGAACCATTTTCGATTTACGTGAATTTTTTGTGAGAGAAAATACTATAGCGAACCATGAATCATAATTCGAATCAGGAAACGAATCCCATATAGCGAACCATGAATCATAATTAAATTTTAACCCATATAAATACAAACTCAAAAAGATTCTCATCTTAAACCATAACTCAAATGTACACAACCAAATACAAACTCAAATTATAACTTTTACTCAAATTATAAGTTAAATTTAACTCAAATTCACACTCAAATCACTATAACTCGAAAATGTAACTGAACAAACCCATAATTTCCCAATTTTTCACAAACCGCCTGACCCCGCCGCCCGTGGATCCCTATTACGAGCAGTTAAAGAGGTGGCAAACTAGTGATTTTTTATGCTAATCTTTTTTTCAATATACAAGTACATAATCTAAAAATCCTGTATGTGTGTGTAATATTTCAAAAACAAATTATACTCTTCCATGGGGAAAGAAGAAGATATGTAATCATCTTCATACATCATATATAAAATAAAATGCATGAAAAATCTTCAAAGTTATATTTATTACAAGGCCAAAGACATTATTACATAAGTATATATTTCATCTCTAGAATGCTATTTTAGACACAATCTAACTTTTAAGACATAAATAATTTCCCCAAAGATAAAGGTATTACAACTACAAATTTGAATCAATCAGCACTACTATTCAGCCAGAAGGTTTCTCCTCAGAAGCAAGCATCCAAAAGGCAACAGCAGCAAAGTGCCGCCAAGCTGCAGAGGCAAAAATAAACAACTTCGTAAGTTATGCTGCATGTTTATCTTTTTATTATAATATTTTCTCTCACGAAAAAAATTAAATTTATGTCAAAATTAGGTCACTCTCAAATAAAATCAAATATATATATTTTTAAATCTTTTTCCTGCTTCTGAATATCTAAAATCTGATTTACATGGTATCACAATTATAGCAAATAACGTTGTTTCCGTATAATTAAGGGAATTAAGGCATTCCAATTCAAGAGAATATAATCTAAATGAAAATAACTATGCTAGGACCCATCACCAAAAGGAATATCACTCCTACAAGGCAACTGTAAACTCTCTTGTGCCAAAAGTAAAATATTCTAGATATTGCAAAAAAAAAAGTTGTATTTTACAAAAACTTTCATCGTTTTGAAAACCCAAAATCACCAAAGAAATCCCACACCACAAAAATTCAAAAACATGAGAAAAGGAAGTGTTCTTTTTTTTTTTTTTTTCTGGCACAAAATTTACAAATTCCTGAAAAAAATAAAATGGCATTAAAATCAAATCTTTTTATGTAACAACTATCCAAAATTATTTACATGCAACAAACACGGAGACCATCTAACACTAAAATCTCGTTCATTTCATCGATTTAAATTTAAAATTTGAGTTTTATTACAGTAAAAAACTTTAAAAAATAATCACATTTAATTTTTTTTGTTAGAATAAAAAATTTTAATATAAAATTATATCTCAATTCAAATTAAAAATTCAGACTATAAAACAGCACGATTTCATTGTCAGTAACAAATAAGAATAAGAACAACAATAATATTAATAAAATAAAAAGAGTTAAAAAAAAAAAACACTACCATCCTTCAATGCAACCAGTGTCTGATCTCTCTCTCCTAGGAGGTTGGGCATAATATCCATCTTGAGGATAACCCTGAGGAGGATAGGGATATCCTTGAGCCGGGTAACCCGTTTGAGGGTAGGCGTCCTTTGTAGGGTAACCTTTACAAAAATAAAAAAATAAAAAAATAAAAACAAAACAAAAATAAGGGGAAAAAAAAAAAAGAAAAACAAAACAGCTGTTATGAAACCCAGAAAAACCAAAGAAAGCAAAATTGAAGAAACATCAGAGAGCCAAATAAGGTACCTTGAGGAGGAGGAACACCGACAGGATGTTGCTGTTGATTGTAACTCATCTCTCTTTTTTTTTTTTTTTTTTTTTTTGTCTTCTCTGAAGAAGAGGTCAGAAACCGATAAAACTTTCCTGTTTCGAAGATTTTGAGAGCAGAAATGAGAATTGGGTTTTTGATTGAAAAAGAAGCTAATAAAAAACGATATGAAGACTTCAAGATTGGTTTCTTATTTATATATTGAGGTATGAGAGAATTAAAAGGCGGCTAAAATGTCGATTCTAAGTAACAATACACCAAAAAAAAAAAAGAGAAAATGAAAATGAAGCTTCCGAAATAATATGCTAGAATGACTTTTTAATAAAATAAAATTAATAAAATGATCTTTTTTTATTTTTTATAAAAAAAAATATTTACTCATTTTTTATAAGATAAGGTCATTTTATAAATAAAAATTTTAAAAAAATTATTTTACTAATAAAATTTTTTAAAAGAGTTATTTTTACAAAAGAGAACGAACCCAACAAAACTAGAGGAACCGACTGTTGAGGGGCACAATTGTGAGACGCTGGCTCCACACACAAAAAGAGGGAGATAAAGCCTTCCCTATTAAGAGAGAGAATCTTCCATCACCATGCTTTTGCATAAATATCAACCCTGTCACCTTTTCTTTTCCCTAAAATTTTGTTACTTTTTCTTTTCCTTAAAATTTTATTCTCTGTTATTTTATAATTTTTATATTGCCGTGTTAAAGTTAAATTTAATTAAAATTATATTAAATTAAAAAAATATAAAATTAACTATTTATAATACATATCTGATAATTAAAAATAAAATATTATTTGTAATTTTTTTTTTCTAATCTTATTAAAAATATATGTAACATGAAATAATTTAATTAACCTGATTACTTTTATTTTTTTACATGTCAGTATTAGTATCATGTTACGTTTTTTCATGTAAAAAATAATACAACTTATTTTTTTTTTTAGGAAGCGGATGTTTTACATATTTTTGTAATCTCATTTTATTTTAATCAGATTAAACGATCAAAAAACTTATTCTATCAATAGGACGGCCAACCAAACACAGACTCTACTTTTTAATGTTTCATCTAAAATTTTATGTAACTGCTTCTTACTGAGTTGATCATATCTACAAATCTAAATATAAGCACGTACAAAATAAAGATGTTTCAACTTTTTTAAGAAAAATGATTTCGCCTAAAAACTAAAAATGAGTTTAAAATGTTGCCACAGTGCAACTCCTCAAAAAAAAATAGGGCATATATTTTAAATGCAACATCAAAGCAAAAAAAAAAAAAAAAAAAAAAAAAGTCAAAATTAAAAAAACCCCTTTAAAAAAAAAAAAAAAAAAAGAGGTGACCCAGCCAATTATTCTAAGGTTTGATAAATATTCTACGAATGTCACTTGTCACCAATGTTTCATCCTCTATTTCGAAATCATATTTATAAAGAAAAGAAAAAAAAAAAAAACTAGCCGCTTATTTTCAAATGAAAACATCTGAATATCAAATAAACTACATGCTTTTTACACGATGAAGAAAAGATTTGAACTGTTGTAGGTTTGTAACCCCGAACAGAAAATGTAAAAGGAGCCAAAGAAGACTTGAGTTTAATTTTGAGCCCGTTTGATTAGAGAATTCGTTCTCCGATTCGAATCATAATTTATAATTCATTATAATATTTTTTTTCATAAAAAATATACATAAATAAAAAATAATTATAATATTATGATTTTAATTTAGGAATCGGCTCGAAATTAGATTATCAAAAGTAAACGTTATTCGTCACTTTACTGATTTTTGTTCGGCAGCCGCGCTATCTAGATAGCTCCATCTTTTTCCCGAGTGATTGAGACATCTTTTGAAAACTACGCGCGTGGCTAATGGAAAGCACAAAATTCTTTGTCCCCACCATACGTTTTTGTTTTGGGAAAATTCTCTATAAATGCGTGAAAAATAAGTGCACTGGTATAGCCGAGTTTTGAGCCTTAGATCATGTTAGGTTAAATAATATACTTATGTGATAAACTTGTTTGATAACTCAAAGAAATATGTACCACGTTATTGTACTTATACGTCTAATAAACAGTTCACACTTGAGTGTTCTAATCCACTTTAACTCTCTATAACTCTCTCTCATCAATATCCATCTTAATTGTTTAATAATAATTGTCATGAATACTTTACCTAATTTCTGTTGTATGCGTTTAATTCATAGATTTAAATCATGTGATTAAAATTATTTTATGAAAAAAATACTGTAGCGAACCACGAACTATAATTCGAATCAGGGAACGAATCTAGGTACTAAATGGATAATTTTCTTAACTCCTAAGTCATGATAAATATTATTTTCTTAAAAAAAAAAAATCAGTCTAATAAAATCGTGCTGTTTCCACTCAAGGAAATTGTCTCTTATGAAAGAGAGCGGCAGGGGCCTTTTGATTGCAATGGCAAGGAAGAGAAATCGGTGCTCTAGAAATCAATTGGTCAACGATGTGATCAGAATAGTAAGGTGCTTGATTTTAAGGCCTCATTTACTTTGTGAATTCGAGTTTTCAATTCGAGCTAAGATGTGACATTTTCTTAGAGCTTTTCACTGTAGCAGAAAAAGTTAGATGTGATATTTTTTAAGAACTTTTACTGTAAAAACCTAAAATTGAAAACTCAAATCGATAAAATAAACGAGGCTTAAGACCGCCGAATTACAATATAATTAAACAGTGACATGTCACCTTATCTTATTATATTCTTTTGTTTATTTAGAAATAATAATAATTAAAAAAAAAAAAACAGGTCACCACCTTCTAGTTGATCAAAAGTAATATGAAAGGATTCATGGCGTGGTTTTACTTGTTTCAATTATTTCATTCCGCCGTTACCCGTTTAACGTGGCAAGCAGGATCATAAGACCGACGAATTGACAAATAGCAAATTTCGAATCACCTTTTCAAAACAGATTCCATTCTCAGTAGGTATATTATTACCAAACAAATGGCAGTTTAATGGATAGAAGGTAGTTGCAAAACCAAAACTCTTTTCAAATACGGAGACGATTAAAAGTTTCTTAAATTAATGTGTAAAAGTAATCTTTTTTATAAGAAAGAATGATATGATTTAAAGTAAATTAATATAAAAATAAATGAGTGGAATATTGATGATAACGATAACTAAAATAATTAAAGATTTATTTAGTTTGTTGGTTTAAATTTTTAATTTAAGTTGAAATATAATTTTATGTGAGAATTTTTTATTATAATAAAAAAATTAAATATAATTATTTTTGAAAATTTTCTTTTATAATAAAATTTAAATCTATAAATGAACCTTATTCATACAGTTGACATGTAGTCGAAGATCATAATCGTACATCTATTTTACGGAATAATTAATATAATATGATAATTTATTGAAACTTAATAAAAAACGATTTAAAATGGCACCTTTCACAAAATTCACCTGTCAGTGGATGTCGGTGATATTTATGCACTACTGAAAAAAGAAATCCAACCTGTTTTAAAGTGCAAACTAAAAATTTTCCAGTAGCGCATAAGGCATTAGAATCATAGATGAAGAAAAAATCCATCCTATCCTAATACTGTTATAAAAGTCTCATTTATTTTATCGATTTAAATTTTTTATTTTTTATTTTATATTTTTACAGCTAAAAATTATTAAAAATTATTATATTTAATTTTTTCTGTTTCAATTAAAAACTCTTAAAAAATATCACATCTCAACTTAAATTAAAAATTTAAATCCGCGAAATGAATGAGACAAAAGTATTAAAACACAACTTTTTGGCGGACAACGTCCTCAAAAAATCGTAAATAACAAAAACAATAAGTTTAAGCCGTAATTACTAAAGAGGGTAAGTATATCATTGGCAAAATAAGAAGAATTTTCCCTTTCTCATGGATCCAAACTACAGAACTGAACATAAACATCTGTGGAGAGAGACTTCTCATACAAAAAAGATCACTGGTCAAGGTTACAATAAAGAAATTAAAAAAATTAAAATAAAATAAAAGAAGCATCTTAGAATTACACTAGCTACTGTTTGATGTCTAAGGAGAAACATACTTGATCAAGAGCCAAAAAGATCAACCTGCCTAAACCTAAACATAAGTTAGACCTAACTAAAAAGCAGCTTCCTATGACTTCAATATGGAACGCAAAGAATCAAATTCATCCTTACACGTATATCATCAAGTAATTACAACACTGCAACTGTTCCTACTTCTCTCCATACCGATAAGACTTCAAAATTCAAACCCCATTTTAGGCTTCCTCCTAATCCATCTCGCACTCGCCAATTTCTGACTTTCAAAACGGGGCTCTTTAAGACCACAGGAGCCACTTACGTTGCCGTTCGGCTCTACCACTGTTGGGGGATACACTAATTCTGTCTGCATTTCGGTAAAGCCATTTACCAAAACCAGGTGAGGAAACAAGTTCATCCAAGGCTTTCTCGGTGGAATCTCTGGTAAACTTCTCCCAATCCTGCTTGGAGAATTTTCTCCTTTCAGGTGTAGCATGGAAGCTAGAAAGGTGTAAGCCTGTATCCAATTGCTGCTGAGGGAGGATTCTCCTGCCAAAACCTGGAGAGAGAGCACAGAAATTATGTACTAATATATCTGTTAGGTACTAGGCAACAAGTATTATAATTATTAGTAAAATTACAAAACATAGAGAAGCAAACCTTGGTCAGGACGCGACGATGCAACTGTGAAATTTCTTAATGGACGCCTCAGGAAACTGGAGTCTACATTGCTTCGAATCGTGTTAGTTTCTTCATCGAGAGAATCTTCAGAAGCTGAAGAATCAGGAAGGTGTGATATTCTCCTGTCCTTTTTAGCTGATTTCATTAATTTTCTGCAGAAAACATTCCGTACTCTCATCAGGCATTATGGGGAAAAGAAAAGGAGCAAATATGTAGGATAATTTAAAGGGAGCCTATGTGGATAGGCTCCAAACTGGAACAGCAGTCTTACTTGTAAACGCGACGGAGGAATCGCAACCTAAAAATTCTTCTCAATAACGAAGAAACTATTATTCCCAATATCAGAGCTTCTGTGGCAAGTACAGGGTCTGCAGAACTCTGGAGACAACAAAACTTGTGTCAAATGTGCAATCACTTTTAATGGTACGATAATTTGAACAGCACCATGTTATTGTCGACAAACAGAAATAAAACTGATGTTTGTGGTACAAAGGAAACCTGAAGAATCATAAGCGCACCCAAGGTACGGATGGACCATGCAACGAATAGAGATGTGCTTATATCAATTGATCCATCTTCTGTGAGGACAACTTTACGAACCACCCAGAAGCCCAACCATGCTCCAGCTAGAATAACAAATGCCAGCAGAAATTTTACCACCTACAATCATTAACAATCATGTAGAAAAAGGTTAGTAAGGACTAAAATACAGTAGGCTCCTACATACTAGCAAAGATGCAGAATCAAGATAACTTACATACAGGATCATACATTTCTTGATCAATTCCAAGCATTGTAAGTATTGCACGCAAGAAGTCAGGTGCAACTTGCTTGAGTATATATCCAAGACCAGCCTGAAACATTACAAGAGTAAGATTAACACCTATCATTTTCATGTAGATTTAGGGAATAAAAAGGGATCTAAAAACTGATACCCACAATAGACGAGGGAATAAAGATTGCGAGTCTCCTTCCACCAAATGGAATAAGCTTCATCCCCTGTCAACGACCAGAAAACATGATGTCAAATAGTATAACAAGAACAAGCTCTGCATCTAAACTTATGCAGATCCCAAAGGTAATAGTGAGCAAGATTTTGGTGAAGTATCTCAGAGTCAAGAATCATTCGCCCATCAGATTCCCCATGCAACTAGCAACCGTAATAACAACAAAAATAAAAAAGAGACTAAGATCATAAAGCATCACACCTACTTTTAAGTTAACTATAAACTAAAGTGCATGTTTTTCTATGAATGAAAAATACTGCATAAATAGCTAAGCAATTGAATATAATATCTACTCATCAATGCTAGAGGGGAAAACTATATTACCTGGAAAAGAACCACCAATATAACGAGGATGACACCAATTGCCATTGCACTTCCATAGTAAAATACTAGTGATTTGCTCAGAAAGGAAGCCAAGCTTAGCATGACTATGCCCAGTACCAGAAGTACTACGCGATGAAGAAAAAATTCTGCAAAACAAAATAATCAAGTAAATGAACCAAATGTTGATACAAAGGTCAAACTAAGGGGGGAATAGGATTTAAACGTTAAGATGAAAAGATTACCTTCTTCAATGGACACCTCAAAGCTCTCTAAGGATGAAGTAGCAGTCTGTATATCTAAAATTTTGCGGTCAAAAGGCGACATATGTCGAACCCAGGAACCCTTGGTAACTTTCTCCCACTGAACTTCAGGACACATTCCAATTGCCAAAGATAGATTCCTGCAAAAGGATCACGAAAACTCTTAGAATCATTAAACTATGAGCTTCATCATGACACGAGATTTAGGTTTTGACCTAAGTTTGGTACGTACTAAAGGACGGGGAAGTTTTCTTAATTAGGAAATCAGAAAGAGAATCACTCTATCGCATAAAACTGCCCAAATTATGAACCATGTTTAGAGGTTGATACATTCAAAATCCAATATGTTTATCCACATAAAAGAATATACGTATTCTCAATAAAATAAAATAAGGAATATATTTTCAGACCTTTACATTTTAGCTTTTCAATACTGGTATTTCAGCCTCATTATTAGTAAAGGCATAAAGCGAAAAAAATAAAAAATAAAAGAGAGGGAAAAAAATCACTTCAGCCAGCATATGTAGTTTAGAAAATCAACAATAAAGCATAAATAGCAATAGGCGATGCCAATTCAGAAGTTAACAATCAGGAAAAGATTTCTATACACAAAGAACTCCCATGCAAGGGCAGATGACACACTCATCAAAGATGCACTTAAAAGACACCAAATTACTTACCTATGGAAACAGACTTCGGCATTGGGTACGTGAACACTTGAGTTTCGTCCGGCTATCTTCACCGTCGCAGAGTGCGCAAATTTGCCCAAATTTTTAATCCTCGACAATCCATAGATATGAATTCTTTCACAAAACATGGACTTTCCATGCTTTCCAGGAGAATTTTTCACTGGCAACCCATGAGATAATTGCATCACGGCAGATGGAGCAACAACTGCAAGGTCAGATATGTAAAAGAAGAAGGTTACCAACCGGGATTAAAACAAATTCACAAGCATTCAGAAAAGGTTTCTGCATCCATCCATTATTCTAAGACGTTAACAGCCTATCATGCTCTAATATTACAAGGCTTCGAGTGCTCTCTCGTGACCTCGTTGAAAACTCGCCAAAGGTCCACAGTTATCATCTAGGTTATAAGGGTTAAAAAAAATAGTTATGTCGAACTTGGTAACCAACTCTGCAGCCTCTACTTGAACTCAACACACCAATTTTTGCGAGTAACTTCACGAAATCATAATAATAAAAAAGGCAATGTTCTTATGATCTCTCATTACTACTGTAATGGTTGAATTGACAAATAACAGATGCATTAATACATGTGCTATCATTAATTTATGTTGCTTTGATGTTTACAAGCATTCTCTATGAAACTCTGACCACCACCTATTGTTGGTTGTCTTTAACTACTTGTATGTATAGGAATAATAAAAGAATAACACTGTATTATTAGTGTAAAACCCATTTTCATCTCGAAGATAATTAAATTGATTCCGAAATAGAAACAATTCCAGATTTTTAACCAGATTATCGAAAATTATTGCAAAATAGTATTGTCGTAACCAACTCTCCCAATCTAACCGACAAAGATTTTGAATTCAAAATTCCTCGCAACTTTCGAAGCAAATAATGCAAAAAACGAACTTTTCTATGTCCACTCCTCATTTTCTCCGTTCCCAAACAGAACCATATAAGACGAAAATGGCATTATCGATTCACGGTTGACGCCGAAAAGTAGAGATATATAACCCTAAAATTCAAATTTTGAAAATAAGCGCAAGAAAGATTTCACGAGTACGTAGTGCAAGAAACGTACCTAGAGAACGTTCACCGGCTGATTCAAGCGAAGAAGACGAAGGCAAGAAAGCGAAAAGAGAGAAAATGCAAGCAGAGAGTAAAAATGGCTTCGCAGAACCCATTGTGGCTGGTACTGGGTTTCCCAGGAAGAGAGAGAGAGAGAGAAGGAGGGGAGAGTGTTTGTGATATATACAGGAAAGGCGCGCGTAGAAAATACGGGACCTTATGAAGGGTAGATGGGTAATTATGATATTCAAAGCTTAAGGGGCCAGCCCAACTTGCTGTACTTACCATTATGGGCCATTATCGTACTTTGGGTAACTGGCCCAATTATTTTTCTGCCAAAACCTCCCGTCCTTGGGGCGTGACTTGGATAAATTGAGGTAATGGATTTAAAATTATGATTTATAATTTTAATTTTTAAAATTTAAGTTTTTTATAAGAGAAAAATATTGTAGAAAATTATGAATCATGATTCAGAATCAGGAACGGATACATAAAAAAATATCATCTCACTTTTGTGGTCTTGCTATTCAATTATACTATTTTTTGGGAAAGTTTAAAACATACCACTCTCAAATAATAAAAAGACAAAGTTGACTTCAAACCATCTATAGTTAATCAGTAATTAACTTGAGCAATAAGGAATAGAATCGGATAAAACTTGGAGGGTAAGCTACCCCAAATCAATGAAGAAAACAAGCAACAAGAAAAGTCAACATGAGACAAAAGGGAAACTTCTCATTCCGCAATCCAACATTGAATCAACTCAAAAAATAGACAACTTAAGAAGGTTCAAACCATCTCCTATAAGTAGGAGATTTATATAACAAATTTTACAAAGAATTAGAAGACGTTTGGTTAATGGATTAGAATCATGAGATTAGAATTATTTTCGATTTACGTGTATTTTTTGTAAGAAAAAATACTGTAGCGAACCATGAACCATGATTCGAATCGGGGTACGAATCTCCCAACCAAACAACCCCTTAGATTCCGCCTATTTACTCTCTCCCTCTTTAAATTCTCTCAATAAACCCCTTTTCCTCTCTTTCCCTTTCGTCATTGTCATTGTAATTGTATTAATTGTGTGTTTACTCTTACGAACTAGCGAAATACTTATAGTTTGATACATAATAAGTTGTCATTCTTTTTACAACACATAATGGAACTTTAAGACTCTACAATGGACGTAACCTTCACATTAATTAACCACTATAATCCATATGTTAATTTATTTTTTTACACTTAACGTTTTTGGTCTTGCTTTCAATTGACTCGAGACCAATCAACCTGCTATTGCAGATTCACAGTCAACACATGAATGCTACAACCCGCTATTGTAGATTCGCAATCGACACACGAAAGCTATCATTGACCATCATTGTAAATTTTGTAAGGATGTACTAAATTTATAATTTTTTAAGTAAACACGAATTTAAAAGAGACATGGAAATTGGAATGACTCTTTTCATGCAAAGTTAACAGGATATTTTGAATTTTAAAAAAGAAAATAATTTTAGTGCAACAAGCACTAACTAAAAAATCAATTTCCCATTTGGTTTATAAATTAGAACTATAAAATTATAATTATTTTTTATTTATGTGTATTTTTTATGAGAGAAAATACTGTATCAAATCATGAATCATAATTTGAATCAAAAAATAAATTCTCTAACCAAACAGGTTCTTAGAGGTCTGATTGGCGGTGGTCGTGCTTTACTCTCATCTTGGATCGTCAAATCCATTTTAATTTATTCCACACACAATCACATAATATCTCTTGCAGTTCATTTGTTATTGCAATAAATAACGAGCTGACGATAAAGTATTCATTTTTGGACAAATCTTTTTGCTTTAATACTAATGTTGGCAGCCTTAAACTGGGGTTCTGTACCATCAATGGCGCCATAAAAAACAAAATAATAAAAAACTCTATAGAGCTTCCATAAAATTTGCAACCAACGTCCAAGAACGAGATTAAAATTTCATCATGATTAAGTAAAATGCCTCGTACCAAGTAAATTTAATGAGGTAATCTGGTATTCATTCTTTTCATTTAGGATTAATCAATATTTCAGCAGTCACAATCTTTCCCATTTTATATATTAAGCGCAGCCTCCTAAACTCTTATTTTTAATTTTGAAAATAAATACCTAATTAGAAAGAAAAAAGAATCACTCTTCTTTTCTTTTTCCCTTTAATATTCCAAAATAAAATATGCCCTAAAATTAAAGGTGTGCAAACCAACCAAACCACTTATTTTTAGTGAAATATAAATCAAACCAATTATAAATTGGTTTAGAGATTTTTAAACCAATTAAAGAATTTAATCCAATCCAAACTAAACCGATTATAATTAGTTTGGTTTGATCTTTCTAATTGGTTTGAATTAATATTTTGCGACTTCTTCTCAAGTTTCAACCGTAATTGGTCCTAAGTATAATAGACATTTCATTATTTTTTAATTGTAAACATCAATAACACAAAAATGAAATATTCAATTTAAATAGAAATAAAACATATAAAGTTAAAAATTAAACATCCTGAACAAAATTAAAACTTTTAAATCCATAAAACCTAAAATACTAAATTTGTTACATAAAAGTTAGAACAAATCAGTCTTTAATTCTAAACTTTTTAAATTCCTAAAAAAATGCTTTCTTGATATAATTGCAAAGTTCTTCTGAAAATCTAAAAATGATTAAGTTATGGATATATATATATATATATATATAATTTTAGGAAAGTACATAAGATAAAAATTCGTTTGGTTTGGTTTTTTAAAGAGTAAAACCACAAACTAAACCAACTAAATTGGTTTTTAAAAAATTTAAACTAAACTAAATTTAGTTTTCTTTTAGTTTAGTTTGGTTGGTTTGAATGGTTTATTGCACACACATACTTAAAATTAGAGATAAGTCCTAAAACTTTTCATTTGTCAAACACCTATACTATGTATTTTCATGTCATTATCATTCTTTTGAAAGTAAGCGAGAAAAATAAGAGAAGACGTGGGTTGGACAGTTATTCTCATGAAGGAGCGGTTACTCGAGAAGGCCAACCAACATATATAGAAAAGGAAGAGGAAGGAGGGGTCGGAAAATTCGAGTCATATTGTCTTCCTCCGGTCCAAACGTGCCTTCTTGAATGTTAGTGAGATCGAAAGTGTATTATCATAAAAAATCAATAAAAATTCCTTTCTACACTTTAGTTTTCTCCGTGTGATTTATGCTTTTGTTTTTCCTTTTTGATTCTTAGTTGTTGGCGAAAATCTAATGTCAACATATTTCATATTAAAAAGCTTTCGTTTACAAAATTTAAGCAAATTTAAAGTGTAAAAATACCGTGTTAACCACGAGTTTTCCAAATAATTGGTCAAATTATGTTTAAAGGTATGTTATAATGGTCTTTTCCCATCTTTAAATTTGACGAAATATTTGTCTCGAAATTTTGTCAAATTAGGAAAGGTTTTCACACAGAATTTAAAAGAAAATGTATGTTCATCATATTTCTAAGAACAATTTATACGTGATATTTCAATAAAACACGAGATACATTTAGGTACTTATCTGACGTATCATCTAATAAAAATAAAGTAAATTTTAACAATTTATATTGGTTTCACCATGATCCAATGCTTATAAAATTAATAATATCATACGATATAAAAAATAACCGGTCCTATTGTAGTTTTGCAGTCACCAACAGGACGTTATTATTGAACCGAATGCATAATGTGAAGGTTTTTTTATTTTTTTTATTTTTACAGGCACTCCCTCAACTTTATGAGTTTGATAAATTAATCTCACAACTTTTAATCTTGTAATTTATCTTCTAAATTTTAAAATTTATTACAGCGTTGGTCAAATTAAAAAAAATTAAAATTTTAAACAGTTTTTTTCGCATTAACATTTGGTGAGGGTAATTCAAATTGGTCGTTTTACTCCTAATATATATAAGGACCAATTTGATGCAAATAGTCTAGAATTATAGGGCTTGTTCTTTTGAGCGAAAAACTCAAAAAAAATACAACTCGAATTATAATTTTATTCGAGTTTATGTTCTTTTAAGTTTGAATTCGAGTTTAGGACTAAAACTCGAGTTCAAGTTTCCCCTTCAACTCGAGTTCAGAAACTCGAACTCAAATTAATGAACAATGTTTTTTCTATTCTTAAAAATGCTATAACTTTTTCGTTTTAATTCTGATTGAGATGATTTTTTTTCTATGCGTTGACAACGAAAAGATGAATAAAACCCTACCCATATACCCTATTAAAATTTTTCATAAGTATTGAGTTTTTATTAAAATACTATCTATATACAAATTCAAGTTTTGACTTCCTCAAACACAAACTCAAAAAGATTCTTATCTCAAACCATAACTCAAATGTACACAATTAAACACAAACTCGAATTATAACTTCAACTCAAATTCAATTCAAAAATTATATTAAGTTAAATTATAAAAGAACAAGCCTACATGTCACTAAACATTCACTAAACATTTAGGAATGACAGAAGCAAGTCTCTCGCAGCTTTCAGTTTCTACGTTTGGAGTACACTGCAGTGCAAGTTCATTAAGCAATTGACTTTTATTTAAAGCTTTACTTCATATACACACTTTCTTAATTAGATGATGATGTAATTCGTTCTGTTCCATTAATAATGAATTGACAAGCTATAGAGTTGGACCACCAACTCAACAACCTTTGTAGGACCCTGAACTGATCGCTTTCAGGGCCTGCAGTAAACCCAACAGTGGTAGTATATATTAGTTGAGAAAATTTGATTATGCCAATAACATTTAAGTTGTATCTCAGTTGTAGTACTAGTTAGAAATGTGATTATGCTAGTAACATTGAAATACCTCCTTTTATTATATATACATTGTTTTTTTTTTTTTTTTTTTAAAGTAAATTGCATTGTTGCGCTGTTTTTATATAAAGGATTCTAAACTTCCAATTTTGACATTTTACACCTTAAACTTTAAAATCAGTAATAATCAAGATTTAATAGCTTATTACCTTATATGATTAACAGTTTAAAACACGAGATTTGAATGTAAAATAGTTTGAAAAATGATGGTCTTTGACTTTAAGAAGCGAATCTCGTATCTTAATTACCGTTAATTTGATAATTTGAGTCGAGTTATGAATAGTTTAGAGTGTAACAGTGTAATTTATTTTTTTATTTTTTGAGCTAAACAATATATACGAGTACTATTATAAGCTCGAGATCCAAATGTTGGCATACCCTCAGGCGTTTAGAAACGATGGGGGTTTGATATAGATATCAATATTCCACTAAAGCACAAGATTTTGAGGTTAAACCTCTATAATTACACTTTAAAAATTGTTGTTACATTGTCACTACCTAATTGTTAAGCCTTTATTGTATTTGGACTTAAAATTAAGCTTTTAAGAGATCAATTAGTCGTTCAATAATTTATCAATAATAAGCACTACAATTCTTTTGTCTAAAGTTAGGTGATAAAACATAAGGGAAAAAAATGCACATGTCATGTGGTGCCCAACACCAAATGGCAAACAGTGATCAACTACTTTAAATTAAAGACAACTTGAATTTTCAGCTAATTAATTACATGATGAAGCTAAGAGAAGTAGGGTTAATCCAAACATATAGTACTATAATACGGTTGTAATAGTTCTACTAAACACGTCCAAATTAATGAGTTACACATAAACCTACCCTTAAAACCCCTAGATATAGGGAACTGATCATAAACATGTGCCTAAAATGAAAAGGACATCTTGGGAAGGACTTTGAAACATTGGAAAGAGTGAAAGGTTGGGCTTTGCTTCATTATTCCTGAGGATAGAGAAACGACAGAGGAAGAGAGGTTGTAGGAAGAGACATATTGGCGAGAGATGTGGTAGGCAATGCATGAAACGGAAGCGATCAAGTTCCAACCTCAGCAATGCTCTGCAAGGCTGGCCTCCATTGCCCACCACCTTCACCAACTGATCCGTAGTGCCTTCTGCTGCTGCCCACGTTGCTTCCTAGGCGGTGAACCTCATGGCCCGTCTAGAAAAAGGGGAAGCAACAAACATAAAACACGAATTATATACATGTATAACTTAGCGCTGGATTCGAGTTTTTAATTTGAGACTAATTTAAATTTTTAATTTAAGTTGAGATATAATTTTATGTGAGAAAAATTAAATATAACTATTTTTGAGATAACAATCTTCATGTCATGTGGTGCCCAACACCAAATGGCAAACAGTGATCAACTACTTTAAATTAAAGACAACTTGAATTTTCAGCTAATTAATTACATGATGAAGCTAAGAGAAGTAGGGTTAATCCAAACATATAGTACTATAATACGGTTGTAATAGTTCTACTAAACACGTCCAAATTAATGAGTTACACATAAACCTACCCTTAAAACCCCTAGATATAGGGAACTGATCATAAACATGTGCCTAAAATGAAAAGGACATCTTGGGAAGGACTTTGAAACATTGGAGAGAGTGAAAGGTTGGGCTTTGCTTCATTATTCCTGAGGATAGAGAAACGACAGAGGAAGAGAGGTTGTAGGAAGAGACATATTGGCGAGAGATGTGGTAGGCAATGCATGAAACGGAAGCGATCAAGTTCCAACCTCAGCAATGCTCTGCAAGGCTGGCCTCCATTGCCCACCACCTTCACCAACTGATCCGTAGTGCCTTCTGCTGCTGCCCACGTTGCTTCCTAGGCGGTGAACCTCATGGCCCGTCTAGAAAAAGGGGAAGCAACAAACATAAAACACGAATTATATACATGTATAACTTAGCGCTGGATTCGAGTTTTTAATTTGAGACTAATTTAAATTTTTAATTTAAGTTGA